CCCGGCGTGAGTTTTAAGCCACCGGGTCCGGGACACGAACCGCGGTCGACTACGTGGGAGTCCAGCGACATAGCCATTATGCTAACTGCTGGTTCCCTTTATTTATTTTTTGAAGTTGACCAGAGAGATAGAGAGAGAAAAGGAAAGTGAGAAAGTCAGTTGCCAGGTCTGGGACTCCAACCACAGTCAGCCCCGTGGGAGTCCAGCCGCCTTAACCACCACACCACTTGCCGGCCCCAAGGATGTTTCTTATAATGTAAAAATACATTATGTCTGAAATCATTTGAAGCCACAAGCAAACCTGACCTGCTAATTTCATTTCGAGATGAAAAATCAAATCAAATAAAGCACACTTACGTTTTCCAGAAACTTCGTTATCTTCTCTGCACTGTTCAGTGCCATTACTTTTATCTTAAAGGTTAATAAAATCTCCACAGCCACAAAAACGAGGATCTTACAGGATCCACTCACCACTTTATCCCAAACCCTACAAAAATAGGACGATAAAGAATCAAGTTACAAACCTTTGAAATTTACATTTTACATCTCAAATCATTCCTATCTTACACATAAGCTTCAGAGAAGAACGATTGGGAAATCACCCCGAACAATAAAAATAGGTGAGCAAGGGCCGGTGGGTGGCATGGTTGATAAAGGTATTGGACTCCCATATGGCCAATGGCAGTTCTAGTCCCAGGCCTGGTAGCTTTCTCTCTCTCTCTCTCTCTCTCCCCCCCCCTCACCCTGTGACTCTCTGGTCAAATTAAAATAAATAAATAAAGTTAAATAAAATATTTAAAAAAATAATACGTGAGCGATTTGAAATTGATTCCAGACATTAGCCAGCATTGCATGGAAAAAGGAAAGTTCACAGAAAAATACTGTTCTGTCAAAAGTCTGCCAGACACTGGGAACCAGCAGTTAGCGTAATGGCTATGTCGCTGGACTCCCACGTAGTCGACCGCGGTTCGCGTCCCGGACCCGGTGGCTTAAAACTCATGCCAGGCGCGTGTGCATGCGTGCCCAAGATCCCGAGAGGAGAATGGAGAAGAGATTGTGGCGTGACCATCCCCTCTGGGGGGTGATTTCTCGCTTTCTGTCTCTCTGTCTCTATCTGTCTGGCGAGCGCACGCGCCCTACAGTGAAAATCTCTCCAAAAAAAAAGAAAATCTGCCAGATGCTCATTTCCCTCATGCTGCAAACTGACATTTTGGAGAAAGAAAAAAAGAGGCCTAACCCACAACCCACAGTCTGTATTTTATTAATATCCTGTAATATTAATAAATTATGCTACCATAATTACTGCATACTAAGGAACAAGAGAAGAATATGATACATTAGATCGATTTAATTCCATCGCTCCATTGCCAGTGGTTCTGAAGGACAGATTTCTTAGACTTCTCTAAGGGGATAAGGAGCAAGTTATTGATGTCTAACCTTCTCTAAAATAATTATTAAGGTCATTCCTGTAACTTTTAAAGTGGAGATTATACTCTACAGACTTGGCTATCTATGACCATACAATGTGGTCTGAGTATTGCATTTTCCCAACAATATCATGAAGTCATGGAGGGCTCGGGCCAAGACTCAGAAATACCCGTGTGCTGGGACCAGCAGATGGCGTAATGATTACGTCGCTGGACTCCCACATAGTCGACCGTGGTTCAAGTCCTGAACCTGGTGGCTTAAACTCATGCCGGGCATAGGTGCGTGTGTGCCCAAAATCCCGAGAGAAGGGATTGTGGTGTGGCCATTCCCACCAAGGGGTGATTTCTTGCTTTCTGTCTCTGTCTCCCTGGCAGATGCATGTGCCTTATAGCAAAAATCTCTCTTAAAACCAAAAGAGAGAGAGAGAAATACCCGTGTGTCTGGAATGGACTGGAAGTGCCGAGTGTGAACCTCAACTCTCTGACTGCCTCCAGCTGCTTTGAAGGGAACTTAGAAAGGGCCGGGCCAAGACTATCTCTAGACCCGTCCGTGCCACATTTCCAGAAACGAGGAGCTCAGTGTCTATCAGTTCCTGAGAAGCTGTGACTACTGTCCAGTATTTACTAGTCACACGCCGGGGCCTCGATGTCTCTCTTGGAATATACGAAAGAGCAGGACCGTGCACGCTGCAGCTGCTGGACAAGGGAGCTCAAATGACTGCACCGTTTTGAAGGAATCTGGATCTGCGAGACGGTCACGCGAAGGGGACGCTCCTGACTCCGGGCCTGCGGAGTGTCCTGGGAGGGAATACCTGCCTCTGTAAGCTGGACTCGGGCAGGCACCCCGCGAAGCACCTCTTGAACCACAGCTCGTAGGGAAGCCTGGGCACCGCAGAGCACATCTTCAGATGACTCAGCAGTCTGCTGTCCTCCAGGTTCAAGTACTGTTCGAAAGCCTTTGGCTAGAGATCAAAGGGGAAGAAGGGTCACTCGTTTCCTGTCACGCGCCATCGCCTGACGAGACAGCCTAGGATGACGAAAACTTACGTTCTGATTGTAAGGAAGTGCTAGAAAACAAAACCAGCCTCGTCACGTGTGACACAGCAGGCTGCAGTAACCATCTGGCCAGTCCTGAGGGCTCCCTGGGATGCAGGGCTCCTGAGCCAGAACCGGGACTGTCCCGAGCACAACGGGAAGATTGATCGCCCTGAAACTGTCATAACTGTGCTCACCACAGTCCAGGGCCAAGAGTCCAAAGCAAAATTCCACCACTCCAGGCAGCTAGGAAAGCCCACAGCAGTACTGGCCCAGCTAGAGCGGGTTACCCATGCTGGCCCATGGAGGAAAGACAGAGGGCGAGATCGAAGACTCACAGTGCGGGGAGGGGTTGGAAGAATGAGACCCACAGGGCTGGTGATGAGATGGGGCTGAGGACCACAGCTGTCCACACGCTGCCCTGAACTGAGCCCCACCACCCTGGCATCATGGAGGCTCAGACAACAGGACGTGCTGAGGATTTCTTGCAGAGAGAGGAGCAAGGAGGAGCGCGCGGCACCTCAACTCCGTCTCAGCCTCTCTCACGCTGGGTTACGCAGCAGCCACCTCTAGAAGACGCAGAGCCCACAAACCAGCTCCCCAGACTGGCCAAACTCTGACCCTCAGTGTAATTAAACCCACGCCGGGCCTGCCCTTCTCACCATTTCCCCAGTAGGAAATTTGTAAATGTCTTTCTGGGGACCACCAGATGGCGTAATGGTTACATCGCTGGACTCCCAAGTAGTTGACTATGGTTCAAGTCTTCCTCCTGGTGGCTTAAAACATGTGTGTGCGTGCCAAAAATCCTAAACTTCCACCTGGTGGCTTAAATCATGTGTGTACGTGCCAAAAATCCTAAGAGAAGAAGGGACTGCAGCATGGCAATCCCCCCGGGGGATGATTTCTCGCTTTCTCTCCATCTTTCTGGTAAGAGAGATGCCCTATAGTAAAAATTTCTCTTAAGGAAAAAAAAGTCTTTCTGGGGCCAGAAAGCTCAGTGCCCCTGCAGCCTAGCTAGGGGGCTGAGGCCTCAAGAACTCAGGCTTTAGGGCCAGTTAGTATCAGAAGTATTTTGTAAATTAAAAAGAGATGCCATTTTCACTATTAGGTGGGCAACCGTTTAAGAGATTGACAGTATCAGTATTGGCAGCAGAGCAGAAAATGGGAAAATCTCCTAATCTGTTTGGGGGGTGTACAAACGGACAGGGCCTCTGGGTGAGCAATCGCAGTTTACATTTGAAATATGCCTCCCTTTGTTCCAGCATTCACACACACACACACACACACAGGTATACTTACTCTCAGTAAGTTATATTTACGGCAAATACATAACACGAAATATTATGAGTAAACGTTTTTGAGAAGAGTGGTTCTGAGTGGCTCTCAACTCTAGCTACACTTAAGAATCACTTTTAAAAAAATTAGAATTCCAGGGCCCCACACCCAGAGAGTGGTTTAACTGGTCTGGGTGGAGGAAAGGTGCTGGGGATTTTTAAGAGCTCCCAGGTGGTGTTAACAGGAAGGCAGGTCTAAAGACCTGGGACTTGTCTGTACTGACCTGGAAAGTTCTCCAAGACGCAGAGTTAGAACCAAAACAAAAACAGAAAGGGATCATACAGACAGTACGATAGGATTTACGTCTTTTAGAGATCAGTTGATAGACGCATGCATATACACATGGTTTTCTAGACCATGAAGCTGAAGCCAATGTTGACTTCTTAGAAAGGGGAACGGGGAACCAGCAGATGGCGTAATGGTTATGTCACTGGACTCCCACGTAGTCGACCGCAGTTTGAGTTCCAGGTCCGGTGACTTAAAACTCACACTGGGCGCATGTGCGTGCATGCCCAAGATCCTGAGAGGAGAATGGAGGAGAAGGGATTGCAGCGTGGCCATCCCCCCGGGGGATGATTTCTTACTTTCTGTCTCCCGTCCCTCCGGCAAATGCATGCACCCTGTAACAAAAACCTCTCTTAATAAAGGGGGAGGGGGGCAAGAAGGTAGGAACCTATTGGTACAGGTTGAAGGGAACTTGGATTCATCTGGGTGGCTTGTTTTCAAAATGTCTTCAGCCATTACTTATGTTTCCAAAATAAATAACTAAATTTTAGGGACCAGCAGTTAGTGTAATGGCTATGTTGCTGGACTCCCATGTAGTCGACAGCAGTTCGTGTCCCGGACCCGGTGGCTTAAAACTCACGCCGGGCGCGTGTGTGTGTGCGTGCCCAAGATCCCAAGAGGAGAATGGAGGAGAAGGGATTGCGGCGTGGCCATCCCTCCTGGGGGGTGATTTCTCGCTTTCTGTCTCTCTGTCTCTCTCTGTCTGTCTGGCAAACGCACACGCCCTATAGTGAAAAACCACTCAAAAAAAAAGAAAAAAAACTAAATTTTAAACGGGGCTTACACCAGTGAAATGCTGGCACCTTTACTGATAACTTAGATAGTAACAGGAAGAGCAAAACTACGTGCAAGAGCCAGAGACAGAACGGGTGGAGAGCGACAGGGGACACTTGCGGAATGCGTCGCCCTCCTTTCTAGAAACGTTCACATACACACAGCATCGCAGCCCAGCTCTGCCCACCCCGTAGGAAAGGTGCTATTCCTCCCATTCACTGCGCAGGGTACCGAGGCTCTCAAAGATGACTAGCAGGTCCATGAAGGTCCAGTTCGCTGGCAGAGTTGACAGCACACTGACCTGCAGTGCTGGAAGTCAGCCATAGGACTGACTGCGGGTTCAGATCCCAGGTCTGCGTGAAAAAGTACTGGGTGTGTGTGCGTGTGCCCCAAATTCTAATAAACCGGAGGGCTGGGGAAAGGGGCTCACGGCCTGCAACCCCATCAGGAACACTGTTCTGTGTGCACACGTACACACAATAAAATAAGTAAAACTTAAATACATGTATCAAATGCTACTGACTCCAATATTAAATAGCAAAAGCTAATTCAATCATGGTATGATCGAGACCTCCTGATTCAATGAGACAACTAATATGTTTACTTATATTCTAATGCCACGCTTAAATTGTTCTTATTAGAATCAACTAAGCGAAATGACGTTTCAAAATCTGAGAAATCAAATTTTCCATAATTGGAATCCATAAAACTGCTCTCGTTAGTGCTCCGTGAGGCGGAAGGGTCTGGCCGGCGGCCTGTTAATAAGTCACTGGTGTGGAAAGAGCAGCGATGCCGAGCGCTCGCCCAGCCTTCCTCGCCGACCTCATCTGACCCTGCACCCTGCGCCACCACGACCACGTGCAGGGTAACTTGGAAATGCAACGGCACGATGAGTTAAGGGAAGACACACATTAGTTTTTATAAATAAGATAAATGGGGGGTAAGAATGACAAGGGACACCTGGCTTGTGCCAAGAAAGTACCCATCGGCTCTCTGCGTCCCCAAGCCAGAGTAGAGCAGACAGATGCTGTCAGCCCCACAGCCGTGCGTCCCTCCTTCTCCACTGGCGGAATCCCTGTTTTACTGGGAAATCACTATGTGCCAGGCCTGTAAAACACACATTTCCCAGGGCCAGCAGGTGGCGTGGTGGTTGAGGTGCTGGACTCCCACATGGCCGACCGTGGTTCAAGTCCCAGATCTGGTAGCTTGCTTTCTTACTTTCCCTTTCTCTGTCTCTCTCTGGTCCAATTAAAAATAATAATAACAACAGCAAATAAAATAAAATAATTCCATAAAAAAAAGTTTAAAAAACAAAAACACACGTTTCCCAGCTTCCACTGCAGCGGAGGCATGAGGTGACAGTCCTGGCCACTAACACACAGGCAGAAGGAAACCCTGCTAGACACTGACTTGACTGCCAGTCTCTCGCTCCCCTGCTTTCATCTTTGCCCTTCTTCCATCCTGCCCAGGACACAGATGTCGCGGCTGTCAGCACAGCAGCCTCCTTGTCTGCAGGGAAGGGTCACAGCTCAGGACACTGCAGCAAAATGACCAGAGCATGGAGCCGTCCACCTCGGTCCTGCTCTGGGCCGCCTCACCTCGGCTTCTAGTCACATGAGAGAAAACAAGAGCCTCTATTTGTTTAGGCTCTCCATTCTGTGGCCAAACCCAAACCTTGACCGACACTGGGCCAGGAGGGCACCACAGGGCAGGGCTGGGCCAAATCCTGCCATGACCACGCCTCTGTGCACGGTCCCCGCTGCTTTGCTGCAGCAGCAGCACAGCGGAGAGGCTGCGATGGGAGCCACCTGGCCCACCACGCTGGGAACATTTACCATCTGGCCTTTCGCAGAAAACACTTGCTGTGACCAGCAGGTGGCGTGGTGGTTAAGGCACTGGACACTCCCACAGGGCTGACGTGGTTCCGGTCCTGGACCTGGTGGCTTGCTTTCTTACTTTCCCTCTCTCTTGCTCTCTGTCTCTGTGTCTCTCTCTGGTCAAATTAAAAAATAAATGAGTGAATAAAGTAAAAAAAGTAATTCTTTAAAAAAAGAAAGAAAGAAAGAGAGAGAGAGAAAACACTTGCTGAGCCCGCCACAGTGTGTCCACTTGTAACTGCCACAGCACCAAGAGGTGAGAGCAGCCCCCGATGACCCCTAATACCACTGATCGCCCCCCAGAAAAAGCCCTCACCAGCTGGGGTAAAGAGTCCCGGTACTTGTTATTTAGCTGGTTCACAAAGCAGCGGACGATCCAGTAACAGTCGACGCTGTCCTCCACCATCTCCTCCATGGCTTTAGCAATGGCAAGGAAGACTTCATCTTCTGGCTCCTGAAAGATGAATAACGAATCTCAAGAGGGTGCAGGAAAGGGTGGAATACACACTGGTTGATAAAAAGGAAGCCGTGGCCCCTCCATTGTGAAGGGGCTGCATTAATAAAGCAAAGGGATCCAAACGCGGAGCCCATGGCTGAGGGCAGGGCGAGATGAGTCTGTGCTGCTCCACGTGACTAGGTCCCTGCCTGTGCAGAGCGTCTCCAGCTTCTGATGCTAAGCCCACCCCAGAGCCGGCCTCAGCCACAGCGAGGCACTCGCTCTCTCCATCCACAGGTATTCCCGCTGCCAGATGAGAGTTTCTTCCGCAGCTCAGACGCCTGTCAACACGGTAATGTGCAAATACTGAAAGAACAGACGCTGCTTTATTCAAAGCATTCGCGCACAGCTTTCTAATTCTGTTGTCTCTTTAAGCACCTACAAAGTTACGATGTCCCTAGAATCAGAGTTTTAGGAATTATTAAGAACGGCATTTCTCAAACCAGGAGTGTAGAGCAGTGTTTAGGTGCTGAGTGAGGAGCCAGATCCCACATGGCTGACTGTGGTTCGAATCCTGGCCCTGGCAGTTTAGAAACACACCAGGCACGTGTTCCTGTGTGCCTAAAACCCTGGTGGGCATGGGCGCGGGCGTGCATGTGCACACGTGCATGTGCATGTGTATGTATGTATGTACACACGTTTCCTAGCTCTGTCTGCTGAGAGCATCTAGAAGCAATGACAACCCAGTTAGGGAGCCTACCTGGTATCCTTTCTTGGCTTCTAAATACTGGGTCATCGGAAAAGTCATGACGTATTTAGAAAAATACATCATGACTTTTCTGACGACTCAATACCACTCCCCATTTCAAAAAAAAAAGTGGCTGATTCCAGGACCTCTCCTAGAAAGTAAAATATGAGCCTAGAGACCAACAGGTGGCATGGTGGTTAAGGTGTTGGACACTCCCACATGGCCAACCGCAGTTCAAGTCCTGGACTTGGTGGCTTGCTGTCTCTCTTTCTCGCTCTGTGTCTCTCTCTGGTCAAACAAAAAATAAATTAATGAATAAATAAAATTAAATAAATATTTTTTTTAAAAAAGATGAGACTAAAATATTGTGTCAGAAAGCCAAGAAACATTCAAAATGATGGGGATTTGTCAAAACAAAAACACAGGTGTCAGTTAGAAGGGGCTCTCATTGGTCAAATCTGGGATGATCTGAACACCAAAAGGAAAAACAGCAGTAATGGATTACAGGCCATTGAATTTTAAAAGGAATCCGTACGTTCATATAATATAAGCAAACAAGAAAAAAGGGAAAATGCTTCCTTATAAGACAATGCCAACTCAGAAACCCAGAGGCCATGAAAGAGTTTGATCACGTGTGGCAGCCAGCCATGAGAAACTCTTCCAGGCGAGACTCAGTGGAGAGATGTTTACTGGTCCCAATGTACCTCCCACAAGTGACTTATTAATTACAGAGGGGAAAACAGTGACCTTAAAGGGACCCAAACCTGCCAAGTGATCAAAGCCAGCAGCAACAGTGGGGAGCAGCCTACTCCTGTGGCTTTCTTGTCAATGATGCACGACCAGATTTCAATCACAAGCAAACAGCAGACAGCCCCAACCTGGGGTGCTGAACTGACCAGCACTCTTTAATGGTGTCAAGGTCACGGAAGACAAAGAAAGACTGGAGACTGTTCCAGATTAGAGAGCACTTAGACATGACATCCACGTGCACTGTGCGACCTAAGGCTGGCTGTACCGGTGGGACACACGGCAAAATTCCAGTAAGATCGATAGATGGTTCCTAGCAGTGAATCAATGCCCATTTTCTGTTTTGATGATGATTTTTTTTTTTTTGGAGAGGTTTTTGCTATAGGACACGAGCGCTTGTCAGAAAGAGAGAGAGACAGAGAGACAGAAAGCGAGAAATCACCCCCCAGGGGGGATGGCCACACCGCAATCCTCCATTCTCCTCTCGGGATCTTGGGCACGCATGCACAGGCGCCTGGCATGAGTTTAAGCCACCAGGTCCAGGACTGAAATTGTGGTCAACTACATGGGAGTCCAGTGACACAGCCATTACGCCATCTGCTGGTCCCTCTGTTTCGATTATTATACTACATTTACATATGACAACATCTGAAGATACTGGGTGAATGGATACAGGACTGACGTACTATTTGCAACATTTTTTATATACAAGATTATTTAAAAAGTTAAAACATAAAAAGCTTTTAGGTTTTTGCCATAGGGTGAATGTACTCGCCAGAGAAAGAGAGAGAGAGGAAAAATGAGAAGTCCCCCTTTAGGGGGAACGGCCATACCTCAATAGTTTCTCCTCCTGGGATTCTGGACACACACACACACACACACACACACACACACACACGCTCAAGCTACTGGGTGCAGGACTCAAACTGCGCAGTTGACCATGTGTGATCCAGTGCCTTAACCACCATGCCAATTGTGGTCAACTACATGGGAGTCCAGTGACACAGCCATTACGCCATCTGCTGGTCCCTCTGTTTCGATTATTATACTACATTTACATATGACAACATCTGAAGATACTGGGTGAATGGATACAGGACTGACGTACTATTTGCAACATTTTTTATATACAAGATTATTTAAAAAGTTAAAACATAAAAAGCTTTTAGGTTTTTGCCATAGGGTGAATGTACTCGCCAGAGAAAGAGAGAGAGAGGAAAAATGAGAAGTCACCCTTTAGGGGGAACGGCCATACCTCAATAGTTTCTCCTCCTGGGATTCTGGACACACACACACACACACACACACACGACCAGTGTAATCTTCAAGAAGCCAGGTCCAGGAATCAAACCGTGGTCAGCCACATGGGAGTCCAGCACCTTAAGCACCATGCCACCTGCTGACCCCAAAACATAAAAAGCTTAAAAAAAAATCATCAACAGGGCAAGATGGTGGCATGCTGATTAAGGCAGCTAGATTCCACATGATCGATTGAGCAGTTCAAGTCTAGGACCCGGCAGCTTGGGAAACACCAGGCATGTATGCATGCATACCCAAAATCCCGAGAAGACAACAGAGAAGGGATTGATACATGGGCATTCCGCTGGGGTGTGCTTTCTCACTTTCTCTCTCTCTCTCTCTCTCTCTCTCTCTCTCCCTCTCACCTCCATGAGTACACATGCCCTATAGTAAATAAAGAAAAAAAAATCAATGGTATAACTCATGGAAAATTTAATAAAAAATAGGATATCTACATAGTAGTTTTTAAGTGTCCTCCCACAAAGGGAAACAGTAATTACAAAGGAGAAATATTAACCTGCCAGTGGAAAATCCCAGCCGGCCCTGCCCTCACCAAGTGGTCAAAGTTGGCATGAGCTCTCAGGCGACGCATCCACCCTATGAGCCTCCTGAGGTGACACACCGAGGATACAGCCCCGCCCGTGTGGTACCCTGCCAACAAGGAATAACCTGGATCCAAGCAGGAGGGAGCATCAGGCAAACCCAAATTGAGGGACTTTCTATAAAATGAAGGACTCATACCCCTGAAAAATGTCAAAGGTATAAAAGATTAAACACAGAGGCACTGCCCCAGACGGAAGGAGACCAAAGCAACATAACCCAATGCAGTACATTCTCCAGGATCAAATCCTCAGCCAGCTCTCACTGTTCGCTTGTTATCTGTGATAAAGGGAATCACTGGGTCAGAATTACCAGTCAAATCTGGAATATTGCATCGATGTTAACTTCACCGGGTTGATAACTGCACTATGGCTAACCACAGGAGTGTCTCTGTGTTCAGGAAGGCATCTGAGGTAATGATGTGTCATGTCTGAATTCTATTCTTTTATTCTCAAATCATTTAAAAAGTATGTGCACATATATAGAAAAAAAAAAAACAAAGAAGATATTGCAACATGTTAACAACTGGGGAATCTAGGCAAAGACTATATGGACATTCTCGGTAGTATTCTTGCCATTGTTCCATAAGTTTGAAATTCCTGGGGCCGGCAGGTGGCGTGGTGGTTAAAAGCGCTGGACTCCCACATGGCCAACTGTGGTTCGACCTGGTGGCTTGCCCTCTCTCTCTGTCTCTCTGTGGTCAAAACTGAAAATAGTGATAATAAATAAATAATTCTTAAAAAAAAAAAAAAGTTTGAAATAACTTCCAAATAAAACGTATTTTAAAAAAATAATAATAAGGTAGACTGGGTCAGAATGTGCAAGGCCAGTGGGTAACAGGTGAAGAATTGTGATTTTTTAAAGTGATAGGGAACCACGGAAAGTTTCCTGATGCAGTTACGAGCTGGAAAGATGGGACGCCAGGAGCTGAGCCAAGGGCCGAGCGGAAGTGCCCACTCACCAGCGGAAAGGACGGACTGCGAGGCAGCTTCCCAGACTCCAGCTGATACATGCGGAGATAAACTTCGACCTGGGGCGTGACGTCACTGACGAAGCGGACGACCCTGAGGGCGCGGAGAACGTCAGAGTACTGCTCCTTGCGATACTGCGTCACTTGAGCGTGGGACTCATGGTGTGGAGGCAGGATTCCTACACAGAGGCCAGACCAAGAAAACAAGGGCAAAATACTGAGACACTGATCCAAAGCAATCCATCATAGTTAGACCAGAATCCACACAAATATTGAATTATTACAAAGCTTCTCTTTTAGAATTCTCACTATAAAACAATCTTAAATGTTAAATGAGATCCATATTTAAATGGGGATGCATCATTAATATAAAAGAGAAATGAAACGGTAGGGCAAAGGCTCTTGAGTAACTATGCCACATACATTCGAGATAACCACCACATCAATTACAATAATGCCATCACTCATCCGTGCCTGTCAGCTTCGGCCAGCCTTCAACTTCTAGAAGGCTCTCTCTAGTTTTTGCCCCTGGCTCCCTACACTGCAGTACCACCAACACCTCATTGAACCCTTTTCTTTCCCAATAGTTAAAAACCTGTTTACAGGTGCCAGCGTGTGGCATGATGGTTCAGGTGCTGGGCTCCCACATGGTCAGCATCTTGGCCATCTCCCTGGGGGGTGAATTTCTGTCTCTCTCTCTCTCTCTCTCTCTCTCTCTGTCTCTCCAGCGAGTATACATGCCTACAGCAAAAATCTAATTTAAAAAAAAAGAAAGAAAAATATGCCAGCTGTGTGTGTGTGTGTGTGTGTGTGTGGGCACGCGAGCGCCCAGGATGCTGAAGGGAGAGAGAAAAGGAAATGGGACTGCAGCGTGACCGCACCCCATGGGCAGGTGATTCCTCTCTCTCTCTAGTAAGTGCATGTGCCCTCTAGCAATAAAAGAAGAAAGAAAGAGAGAAGAGGAGGGTATGACATGCTTCAGCAGGCTTGGCAATGAGGGGAAGAAGAATCCCTGGGCTCAGTAAGGAAGCTGCCAGTTCCATGTGGCACCTACCTTGCTTTTTCCTGCACAAAACTAAGCAAGATCAGTTTCCCTTCTCATCCAGCAACTCGTCTCTTGAATTTATCTGTTCACGCTTCGAGGGAGTAAAAATTCTCCGATTCCTCTTTGACTCAGATAGCACTCTCTGGGAACTTAATCTGAGATTCACAGAATTTAAGGCATTAAGAACTAAAACTAATTTAGCTCAATATCCTCATTTTACAGATGGAAACCATGAAGCTCAGAGGGGGTCTTTCTCCAGGCTATCCCGCAGACAGCAAAGCCTGAGCCAGTTCTCCATCCTCTCATTCCAATGCGCTTTCTACACCTTGTATCAGGGACATGCTACCTTTCCCTCTGTCTTTGTTTCATATGTCACCACTGCAGTCGCTTTCCTTTGTTGTTTTTGTTTTTGTTTTGTTTTGTTTTTAAGAAACTTGCCATAGGGCACATCGCTTGCTAGAGATAAAGAGAAAGGAAAATTGAGAAATCACCCCCGTCCAAGGCAATAACCACACCACAATCCCTTCTCTTCTATTCTCCTCTTGGGATTTTGAGTGTGTGCGCGCGCGCGCGCGCGCGCACGCACACACACACACACACACACACACATACACGGGCTCAGCATGTTTTTCAAGTCACTGGGTCTGGGACTCAAACCACACAGTTGGTCATGTGAAATCCAGCACCTTAATGACTACACATCACCTGCTGGCCCCAAGGTCTTTATTTATTTATTTATGTATTTATTTATTTATTTATTTGGAGAGGTTTTTGCTATAGGGCATGTGTACTCGCCAGAAAGAGACAGAGAGACAGAAAATGAGAAATCCCCTCCCATGGAGGGATGGCCACACAGCAATCCCTTCTCCTCCATTCTCCTCTCGGGATCTTGGGCACGCACGCACATGCACCCAGCGTGAGTTTAAGCCACCACGTCAGACTCAAACCACGGTCGACCACGTTGAGAGTCCAGTGATGTAGCCATTACGCCAACTGCTGGTCCCCCAAAGTCACTTTCTTAAAGGTCTTTACCTTTAAGTGAGTAGTAAATGAGTCTCCTCAGCAAAAGCCCTAAACAAATCTTCTCTTTTTCTAAGACAACAATTAATCCCATTAGTCAATACTTTTCAAAGGAGGTCTTCCAACTCCTGGGTCTCATACCTAGAAGCACCTTCCACACCAGTGCCCGGTACATGGACGGTAGGGGGAATCTCTGACTGAAAGTACAGAGTTTCTCGATATCTACAGAAGAAACGACAATTAGTTAGAACCTTCTCATGCTGATCACAGTATATAAAAGCAATTTCATTTTTTAAAACCACAAGTATAGCTAAGACATTTCTTCAGGGGACTACGCTAGATTCCTACAAGCCTAGCATATGGTCAGCTAATTTAGGAAAGCCAACACTGGTCTGATTTCTAGCCCAGGTCTGCCATGGACTAAGCTACTTAAAAACAATGAGCAGTTTACAGCCTAGAGATGCACTGTGCATATATAACCACTTTCCCTGTAATGTTAACCCGCACTGCAAACCTGATGCGTAGTTATTGTTCTGAAGATGCAGAAACTGATGCTCCAAGAAGTCACGTGACTAGACTGAGTTACCATAGTGGGTAAATGGCACAGTCAGCCTTCAAATCCCCGTATTTTCCAACAAATTACATTAAATTCTGGCCCTCAATTCCTCTATTTCTCGAAGGAAAATAAGACCAGTCATAATTATAGATTGCATGGCAAGGATCAAAGAGCAGATAGGAGATGCTTCTGAAACTTTTAAAAATAACTCGGTGTAAATAAAGCATTAGTTTTACTATGGTTAAGTTCATTTGACTTGGGCCAAGCATAGACATTATTATCGGTTTAAAAATAAACTATCAATAGTCAATGCAGTTCTAGTACTTCCAAGAAGAAAATTACAACCAGAGCTGTTGCACGTTTGCCCCAAAGTTATGATGATACATCTGGAAATAAGAAAACATATGGGTTTAATAAGAGAAAAAAAATTGGGAACAGCAGATGGCATATGGTTACGTCACTGGGCTCCCAAGTAGTCGACCATGGTTCAAGTCCTAGACCCCAGCAGCTTAAAATTCATGCCGGGCACATGTGCGAGTGTGCCCAAGATCCCGAGAAGAGAATGGAGGAGAAGGGACTGTGGCGTGGCCATCCCCCCAGGGGGTGATTTCTTGCTTTCAGTCTCTCTGTCTCTGTCTGTCCAGCTAGTACACGCACCTGTAGCAAAAATCTCTCTCTCCAAAAAAAAAAAAAAAAAAGAGAAAATATGATTGACTTAAGAGGCCTTTCAAAAACTTAAGCATCTCAATGAAATATAAATTTGACGAATCAGTAATTTTTCTCAAAATATTACATTCTGTTGTCATCTTATCATTAAAAAAATATCGCAAGTAACAAATATCTCTAGATGTCTTTCCAGGTAATACTTACTTCAGAACATCTGGAAAGAACGAGAACCAATAAAAGTAACTAAACTTTAAGACTCACCCAGACGGTCATCTTTTAGGAGAATTTCTAATGACTTCTTTTCTTCAACCCCACGGAACCCCACTTTCTCATAATATACTGAACGGAAGTTTCTCTGAGAGTCCTCAGTCATGTTTCATTCTTGGAGAGGAGAGAGAGAGAGAGAGCTGAGAGATGAGGGAAAAGACAGAAATAAGCCTAGAAACAAAAAATGGCAAATTATTAAAATTTTCAATAAATCTGTATGCTTTGATAAACTGCCTGCTCTTACGTAGGACTCAATACTAAATCTTTCTTTTTATTCAACTCTAACACCACCTCACCTATGCACCTTAGCCAAAATTAAGACCTAAGTCAAAAGTCCTTTAAGCCACTAAAATATATGGTACAAAACTTAGGCACTAGGGTTCCTATTAACTTATGAAAACCCCTAGCACAATGGAATATTCTGCAGCCATGAAAAATATGCAAGGAAAAAAATTAATGAAATGGGAAGAGACAAGCGATGTCACGGAAAGCGATTACCAGACAGAATACACTGACTCCATTTTTGTTCTTAACAAATATTATACATTAAGCACTTAAGTCTATGTTCCCAAATGTTAGCAATAGTTAACTTTAAGTAGTAGGATTACAGATTATTTCAATTCCATTTAGTTAGCTGTGCTTCCTAAAATAGGCATGTTGTTATGTGAAAGATTAAAGTAAAAACTCACAAGTACCTCACTTATTTTCCTCTTAAACACAATTCTATTACATGTAATTACCAAAATTCAAAATCCACAACAGATAAAGATTAAATTATAACCAGAAGAGGGTAAGGAATGTAGCAGGTTGACAAGCGATATCACACTCAAGAATTGAAAACAGAAATGACAGAACTCTGGTATGAGAATTCAGGTTCTTTCACAATAACCTTCCTGATATTGATGGTAAACCAGCGAGAAAAGATTACATGCGGTTGGCATTTCAGGAACAGAAAAGATGTAAACATTTTCCAAAAAAGATGGCTCTGCCTCACCCAAATGCCTGAAGTGTCGCTGCAAGAAATAAATAAATACTCAGGTACTAAAGACCCTGAGATCTGGCCAATGACCAAGGGAGGGTTTCTTCCTTATTGAAAAGATATTCTATGAACTGATTCGGCCAGAGAAGGCTGGGATCCATTTAGAAAAGACATTCTAAAGGGCTCTGAGCTTTCAGAGCCTGACGTTAAAATAAAAAATAATCCAAACGCATTAAAGTGCAAAATGAGTTGGGGGATTTATTTTTCAAGAGCTTCCAAAGAGCTGCACGGCGACCTGGTCCCTGCGGAGTGAGGACACCTTCTCGGCCGGCGCTTGACCCTCGCATCTCCTGCCGGTGCAGGGATTGGGAAGCACCCCGGTCCGAGCCCTAGGCCCCACTCTGTTCGCTTCCCCTCTACTTGTGGAAACACACCGAGTTGAGACTAAACGGTCCGGGGCAGGCGGCGGAAACCAGACCGGGGGCGCTGACCGACCCGCGGGCAGGTGGACGCCCTGGGGGCCACCGACTGGCCAGGGAGAGAGCGTGTGACGGTCAGGCTCTGATGGATGGAGGCGGGCAGCCGGTCACTGCGGGCACCCGGCCCGCCCGGAAGACCATACCCAGAAGCAGACACCGAAGCCACGACCGGACGTGACGTAGCCCCAGGTGGGCGAGGAAATGGCCCGCGCCGCGCGTGCGCCTGCGCAGAGGGCGTAAGCAGAAGCCGGTGCAGCGCTGGCTGTGTCCAGAGCAACTGCGTCCTTGTCGTAGACTCAGTTTTTTGCAAGGAACCTCCACGTAGCGCTGCCCCGTGGCTCTCCCAACCCATTACTGATTCGGAGAATCTAGCGGCCGCTTAGCCCAGCTGTCCAGGCGGTGCCTGGTTTCCCTTCTTTGAACTGGAAGGAACCCTGAACTAGGGCCGCCCTTCTCAAGCCACCTGCGGGTGGAAGACCCGGCTCTGCTTTCTAGTTTGTGTGTTCGGTGTGCGGATGTAAATGAAGACTAGATGAGAACATGCAACTCTGGTTCACTCAGGGCTGATATGCAAAGAGCTTCCCGCCCCTGTTGCGTGTCCGCAGAGACCCAAAGGCAGGCAGGACCGAGCGCGCTTTTAATAGCGGAAAAGGCAAGCTCAGGGGTGCCCGGGTTGCAGGCAGCTAAGGAGAGGTCGGGGCTCCTAAAGATCAGCTAGGGGCCTATTTGCCTTTTTCTGGTTGGCCCTAAATTGGAAGCCATGTCAAAAAGTGGTCTAATACCTATCGGTTATTGGATCCTGGCTATTTGGGACCTATTCTTAGCTTTGCTGTTGGTTTCTTAGATCGCTAAGCCGTCTGGATTTATAGCACGTGTGCAAGCGTGATTTGTAGCATGCAGATAGCTACAGGTTGTGGGTTGGTTACGTTTTTATATGGGCCAGGTCATAGTATATTCAGCAGCTCAAGTAAAATTCTATTAAAAAATAAATACATAAAAATAAAATTAGGGGTAAATCAAGTTAGAAAAAATATACTAAGTATGAGCACCAGGGTTTTTTAATTATTCAAGCACCCTTGAAGGGTCTTGTCACGCTGCAATCCACAGACATAAAGCTATATGTTTTGTTTTGTTTTGTTTTGTTTTGTTTTGTTTTGTTTTCTGGTGGACCTGGGGATCTGAACCCTTGGTCAGCCATGTGAGTTCCAGCCTTGCAGGCTACTGCATGATAGCTGTCTCCCAGGGGCTGGGCCCATTGTGGTTTCCATGAGCTAATAGGACATCTGGAAGCTACAACAGCAGATTAACACCTTTGAGGTAATTCTCAATTCTGCAGCCAGAGCAACCCTTTAAAAAATGCCCCTCCTATGCACAGAATCCTACAAAGGCTCCCTATGTCACTCAAAGTGAACACTCAAGTCCTCACAATAGCTGGAAAAGCTTCATGACCTGCCTTCTCGACCCCATCTACCATTAGGGCCCTCGCCTTGGGACCTTCTCATGTTGTTCCCTCTGCCTGCAACTCGGTGTCCTCAGACAGCCATGCAGCCCACCCCCTCCTCAGTCTCGTCACACGTCCTTTTCTTGGGCTCTACTCTCTCTCTACCTAAAGTTATGGCCCTTTACCTGAATTCTGACCCCTCGTATGCAGATCTGCTTTTTCCTTCTATGGCACTCAACACTTTCCAACACTATATAGTTGACCTTTTTTGTGTTAGTTGTTATGGGCTCAGTCCTACCAGAACGTCAGTTCTACAAGGTCAGGCATCTTTGCTTGCTTACCTGATGGCTCCCGAATTCATAGGACAGTGCCCGGCATGCAGTGACTGCTAAGTACGGACTTGCATGAATGAGTCGAGATACCACATAAGGCCAATGAGCGGCCATTCTTTCAGTTGTGTCCCAAGCCGTTAGAAAGCATCATTAGCCATTGGACTCCTGGCATGACAGGTTATAGAGGGAGGAGGCAAGCCATAGAGTTTCAGTGGGATTTAATTGAAATAAAAATGAAGTCACACGGGCCCCGCGTTGGAAGCTTATTATTGTCCATTGGCGGCCGTCAGCCTCACTCTTCTCTGCCTTGGAATCTTACTGCCCTCTGCTGGTCCAGCACTTTTACGAAATTATAGAAATAACTGTACGGCCAGCCACAGAGCACATCTCAAGGTCGAAAAGGACTTAACGATCAGTTAGTCCCATTTCAAATGTGATGCAGAGCACGTAGACCCTCTATGCCTGGCCTAAGCTGGGAGATAATTAGATTCAGGGTGTTGCATACACTTTCTTGCTGTCTGCTTCTAAGTGTTGCCTCCAGTAAGCTCTGTTTTATATGTGTGTCATTTGGCATTAGTGGTGTGTTTTCATGACCCTTTTTTAGGACGCATCACTGTACAGATGTGTTAGAAGTGACATTCATTGATCTGTCAAAGCCGGTGGCATGTGCAATACGTACATGTGATTAGACTTCCATGACTGCCCTGACACGGGAACCCCTGGTTCAGTCCATAGGCTGCCCAGTGCACACCGAGTCGTTTCACCAGTAACGATCCCATTGCTGATCATTGTTTAGCATGAGTCTTTGACATGTCTAGTATCAAGACAGCCGGTAAAGTCAGCAGGGTAGATGTGCAAATTCCATTTTCAGTGAAACTAGAAAAAACATTAGGTGAAGAAATTTCCCAAAACAGAGGGGATCCCACAGGACATGTAGGACAAAGCAGCGAGATTCGATGCTGCAGATCTCAGACAGAACCAGCAGAACACACCTCTCGAAGGTGAGGGGCTGACCCCGAGAAGCACCACTTAAATCCATTTGCGTTGGTGGGAACAGAGCTGGGACAAGAACTTCGTACAACCCAGTGTGACTCTATGGTGCAAAAGAAGGGCTGCTCCTGAACACAATAATTATACAATCTGGACAAAACGTAGAAAAAATTAACTACTTTAAGGTGCTGTCATGCAACCAGGAGTGGGGGGGGTGTGATTCAGGTAGGTGGCTCACCTTGCAAGAACAGAACGGCATCAGTTGAATTTACTGTTTTCAGAGCTACTGTTCAGTGCTACAGGCACTGTGCTCTTGTTTTTCTTTGTTGTTGTTGTTCTTTTAGGAGAGGTTTTTTCTTTGTTTGTTTTGTTTTTTGTTTGTTTGTTTTTGCTATAGGGTGCATGTGCTCGCCAGAAAAAAAGAGACAGAGAGACAGAAAGCAAGAAATCACCCCCTAGGGGGGATGGCCACGCCGCAATCCCTTCTCCTCCATTCTCCTCCCGGGCCCTTGGGTACGCAAGCACACGTGCCCTATGTGAGTTTAAGTCACCAGGTCTGGGACTCGAACTGCGACATAGCCATTAGTCCAACTGCTGGTCCCTACAAGGCGCTGTGAAGTAAGCAGTTGCCCGTGTTGATCAGGCGCACAGAGTCAAAGACTATTCCAGAGATAATGTGTGGAAGTTCCCAGCGTGTGCTTCGTTCTGGAAGCCCATGTCTGGTGAGAATGAGATGGAAGAAAACCCGGGTGGAAGGGCATCTAGGAGAGATCCTCGAGAAGGCAGAACCAACAGAGGGGGCGCCAGTGAGGCCAAGGACACAGAGCCACTCAAAGTGAGAGTGGTCACTGTGGTCAGATGCTACTGAGAAGGCAGATAACGAGGACTGGAAATACGTGTCCTTTCCATCAACTCATTGCTGTAGATGCTCACTGGCCACTAGGCCTTGCTCAGTTTTCCACTTTTAGATGAAAACATTTCCCACTAGTGTGGACGTTCAGATCTCACCCAACTCCAAGGCTCAGATAGAATAACAGCTTCTTAGGAAACTTTGTATTTGGATTATTTGCAGTTGATCATCCCTTCATTCCATTCTCCAGTCTCCTTAACCTACTCTGCTCCTGGAAGCTGACATGGACAGCGTCTTGAAGACCCCTTTGTCTTCTGGTTTCCAGCTGGATTCCATGAATGGGAGGCAGAGGCAGGATATTTCTTCCCTACTCCCTCCCTACTTTGGTTCCTACGATGGCTCCATACCTTTTTGACCAAGGTGTTGTCAGGCAGCCCCTCCTCCATGGTGCTTTTGCAGACCCCAGAAACATTGTTTTCTGCTCTTACCATTCATACCTAAGGAGGGTGAGTGGTAACGGCATCTCTCTGCCATTAAACCTTTGATGCCTCAAACTCCCTTCTTGGGGGTCTATGAACTCTGCACCTCCCCTCTATAAATGATTAAATTCCCTTCAGTGAACTCTGTTCGGGAGTTCTGCTCCTGCCACAACCCTGACTACTATACTCTGCTTCCACCTGCAAACGATCCTCCTTCCTCTAAATGTCCACAGTTGTATCCGGGACCCTGAAAGGAGAGCTGCTGTCCGCCATGCTGGGCAGTTGTGTTATGTTATTTTTCCCCCTTTCCTCTTTTTCCATAGAGTTACTGTTCCTTTGACCTGTGGACAGGTAGATCTTGCTCCTAAAGAATTTATGACTCCTCACTGTAAGACTTAATTAGACAAACCAGAGACCAATTGTGATGACCCAGCGCACACAGATAATGTAAACGTTTTATTCACAGAGGCCTAAAGGAGACAAGACTTCCTGATGCAACGGAGTAAATTCCAAGATAAGAATCTCTGAGCTCTCAAAGTTAACTGAGAGTGGCCAGCAGGTGGCGTGATGGTTAAGGCTCTGGATTCTCACATGGCCAACTGTGGTTCAAGATCTGGACAAGCTGGACTGAAAATCACATTGGGCGTGAGCATTGGGTACCCCAAAATCCCGAGAGGAGAATGGAGGAGAAGGCATTGCGGTGTGTTCATTCCCTCCTGGCAGTGATTTCTCACTTTCTCTCTCTTCGTCTGTCTCTGGCGAGTACACATGCCCTGTGGCAAAAAAAAAAAAAGATAATAATAATAAGTATAATAAGTTAACTGAG